CAGCAATGAAGATCCAATGCAGCCAAAGCTAAATAAGGACTAATAACTAACTAATAAGGACCTACTGTATAGCACAGGGAACTCTACTCAATATTCTGTAATGACCTATATGGGAAAAGAATCTAAAAAAAAAGAGTGTATATACATATATGTACAACTGATTCACTTTGCTGTACGCCTGAAACTAACACAGTATTGTAAATCAACTATACCCCAATAAAAAAAAATTTTTTTTTAATGTATCCATCTGCACATTTAGCATTAGTGCACTTTACACTAGCATTATACTTAATGAAAACTTTAGGAACAAGAAAATGACTTCGTTTCAGCACTGTTCTAGTAAGTCCCCAAAATGCTGATGACTGCTGTTTGAGAAGGAGGAAAAAAAACCTTTCAGCTTTAGTAGCTCACCACTGCTACAGCATGTCTGAACAATTTAGCTCCAACCTACCTTTTAGTCTTCATCCCCCTATTTCTTGCAACAAATACTCTGTACTCAGACAAAAGGAATTATTCCCTCTTCCATAAACAATCACATACTTTCACATCTTTGGGTCTTGGCTCAGATTTCCCTGTCTGGCAAAATCCTACCACCTTTCACTGTTACCTCCTATTTGGAGTCTCCCCTGATCCACTCGCAGAGAGGAAATAATTCCTTTTTGTTCTCTTCTCCCATGAAACTTCTTCATGCTGCTAATATAGCACTTAGTACCTATGTACCTGTCTCCTCCCACTGAACTGTAAACTCCAGGAGGTCAAGGAGTATGCACCTAGAATAGTGGGCGGCACAGGGTAGTCAATAAATACTGATTTAAAAGAATACATGACTCTGCAAATATCCAAAAAGTAAAAGAAGAGAATTTTTCTCAACAAGATAAACTTAAAGAAGTGACCAGAATGAAAAAAGACATAAAACAAAGATAATTGATTAAAACAAAAAACAAAAAAATATATTTGATACATGCCTATATTGGCATAAATAAGTTCTCAAGGAATTTATAAGAAACCTGAGTGGTTGTCTCTGGCAAAGGAGTCTGGGGTCTGGGTAGGGATGAAGATTAATTTTATTTTACAGTCTTTTCTGTTATCAAACTTTTTTGCCACATCAAGGTATTTAAGAATGATTAGGGCTTCCCTGGTGGCGCCGTGGTTGAGAGTCCGCCTGCAGATGCAGGGGCCACGGGCTCGTGCCCCGGTCAGGGAAGATCCCATATGCTGCGGAGCGGCTAGGCCCATGAGCCATGGCCGCTGAGCCTGCGTGTGCTCCGCAACGGGAGAGGCCACAACAGAAAAAGACCCGTGAACCAGAACCAAAAAAAAAAAAAAAAAAGAATGATTAAAATTGTTAATTACAAAGATTTCGAAGGAGGAGGAAAAAGTTATGTTAATGCTAACTGTTTAAAAAAAGGAAGTCACAAAATGACAAATAATAAAAAATATATCTGAAGCTATATAAGAACTAGAAGGAAAATGTGAAAAAAAAACCCAAAAAGCTTATGATTTAATGTGCAAAGAATTGGCTCAGATAAATACATTCTGATTACTTTTATTTGTAATTTTACTAGGTTCATTTTCTCTAACATTTCCTCTAAAATATACAAGGTGAATTACAGACATTAGACTATTGTTTATAGACAAGAAAGAAAATAGGCTATACTGAATAAGGAAAAAAATGTCGTAGGTGGCTTCAACTTGCTTTATGGTCGATTTAATTACTATTGTTTTGCTGTGTGTTTTTCAAATAAAGTTCATCAAATTTTTATTTAAAATCTTTTATCAGTGATATTTTTATTACCATTCCCCCCCGTAGCAAAAAGTGGCAAATGAGCAATACCAAGCACTAGAAACTTTTACTGATTTTAAGTATGGGAATTAGTTTTGTAAATAAATGTAGCCCTTTGCATTCAAATATTAAATTTTTAAAAGAGGTTTTAATGTGGTCCCTAAAGGCTGATTCCTTCTCATGTTTTAGGCCTCAGCTCAAATGTCACCTACTCAGAGAAACTTTTCCTGATCCACCTACCTACAACAGTCCCTTTCTATATATAGATATCACAGACTGAAATAATCATGTTTATTCTTTGTTTATATACTTATTTTCTATTATTCCACACTTGAATGCAAGATTCAAGAAGGTTGGGAACTTGTCTGCCTCCTATTGCTGTATTCCCCTAGGAATTCAATAATATTTATTGAATAATGGGGGAAAATTACAAAACTGATCTACTGTTTTCTTTTCCCCACTGTTTACTTTTCACAAGCATTATTATCCATTGCATTCTGCCAGGGCCTGTTTGGAATTTAAAGCTCTAGAAGAGGGCTTCCCTGGTGGTGCAGTGGTTAAGAATCCTCCTGCCGGGCTTCCCTGGTGGCGCAGTGGTTGAGAGTCCGCTTGCCGATGCAGGGCACGCGGGTTCGTGCCCCAGTCCGGGAAGATCCCACATGCCGCAGAGCGGCTGGTCCCGTGAGCCATGGCTGCTGAGCCCACGCACCACAACTACTGAAGCCCGTGCGCCTAGAGCCCGTGTTCCGCAACAAGAGAAGCCACTCCAACAAGAAGCCCTCGCACGGCAACCAAGAGTAGCCCCCGCTCACTGCCACTAGAGAAAGCCCACACACAGCAATGAACACCCAACGCAGCCAAAATAAATTAAAAAAAAAAAAAACACGAATCTATTTTCTACTAATCTCTATAGATTTGCCTATTCTGGACATTTAATGTGAATGGAGTCATACAATATGTGGTTCTTTACAACTGGCTTCTTTTCATTTGGCATAATGTTTCCAAGGATCATCAATACTGTAGCATAGGCTTCCGTGGTAGCGCAGTGGTTGAGAGTCCGCCTGCCAATGCAGGGGACATGGGTTCATGCCCCGGTCTGGGAAGATCCCACATGCCGCGGAGCGGCTGGGCCCGTGAGTCATGGCTGCTGAGCCTGCGCGTCCGGAGCCTGTGCTCTGCAACGGGAGAGGCCACAACAGTGAGAGGCCCGCGTACCGTAAAAAAAAAAAAAAAAAAAAAAATACTGTAGCATGTTTCAGTACTTCCTTCTTTTTTATTGCCCAATAATATCCCATTGTATGGACATAACCACATGTTATTTATCCATTCACCAGTCCATGGACATTTGGGTTGTTTTTGACTTTTTGTCTATTAAGAATTATGCAGCTATGATAATAGGTGTATCAGCTTTAACATCTGTTAAAGAGATAATAATTCTTATTGTTTTGATATTTGTAAAGAATAGTGCCTGGCACAGAGTTATGTTCAAAAAATATTAGTTCCTTTCTCCCTACTTTACAGGTAAATTGAAGGTTAAGTTATTTATCTTTCTAACCTGACCTAACTATACTACCTTCAACCTAGCAAAACCTTTTCCCAAATATATGATTCTCCCTGAGGAGATTCCTCCATCATTTCTTTCAGACTTTCTCACCTTTTGCTAACAGAACTCAGAGGCTCCCGCTTCTCTTTCTCTCTCTACTTTAATTAAACTAAGTGCTGAATGAATATCATCTTATCTTTAAGTTATGTTCCTATTTCCACAAAAATTCGAAGAACTATTTTTTTTAATCTGTATAACACTTCCTTCCATTCAGTGTCCCCTCTTCTTTATCTTACGCTCCATGTAGGTATCCTGGTGCTACCTCAAGTTAACAGCACAAGACGGAAATTTTGTTACCTGTAAACGCTCCCTCTTGCCTAGTTTCCATGCTATCAATACCGAGGTTACTATCATTAACCTTTTTTTTCTGATAAATGCTGATGTTAAGCACCATCTTGGAAATTATACAACACAATTCATTATCCATTTTCAAATAAATGTATTTAAATGCCACTGTGATTTTAAAATATTACCAAACCTTAAAAGGGACCCATGTAAATTCTGAAAAACAAAATGCTAACCTTATAATTATCCAATTAAAAAAATCTTCATAACTTTTTTCCCCTTCTATTTATACCCTTGTTTTTAGTATGTTAAGCAGTATGCCAGTTACCGATTTGGAGTTTTAATTTTACACAGGAACTCTGTGACTCCCATAATTTTGTTAACTCAGTCACTATTTCTGTTCCTTGCTCAACAAGCTGGAGCCAGAAATACTAATTAGATGTTACCCCTTTCCACTACTAGACCATAATTACTTTGAGCCCAGCAATGCCAAACAATGATGGTTCTTCCTGTTTGGTTCTTGGCGGTTTCATTCCTTCGCTAAGCTGGCAGACCTAGGTGTGGAGTGATATTTATTAAAGTCGTAGATGATACAGCACAATGGCAAAATATCAGTAACCAGTAAGTATTATAATACAGTCCTAGCAGAAGGGAGTGGCTCCGAGAGTGGAAAGGAAGAGGTGAAGGTGCAGATTGGCCCCGAGATTTAATCATGCCGATGGTCCCTTCTCAAGAACTCTTTAGAAAGTGGGTTCTTCTAGAAGGGAAGAAGGGTTTGTTTAACAGTGAGGTTTTCTTTTTGTGTTTTTAAAGGACAAGCATTGTAAAGTACGGTTAGTAAAATTCTCGCTGATACTAAGACGAATAAGCAGAGTAAGCAATCTTGGAAAACTCAAGCGTGGGGAGAAGGGGAGGGGTGGGATAGAGAAACAGCGCTCAGACTGTCTTGGGTGGAGAGACATCGCCGACTGGTGGGGCCCCGGAGGCAGCGCAAGCGAGGAACCGCGCAGGGGCCGCGGGCGGAAAAGCCGGGCCCAGGGCCGCTCACGCAGGGCGGGGTTTCGGGGCCAGAGCCCGGCCAAGCCAGCCCAGAGGGTGCCGGACGCCTGCGAGAAGGCCGCGTCCTCCCGCACCCCGCCCATCGTTGGTGCTGCCAGAACGAGGGCTGGGAAGGAAAGAAGGAAGAAGTGCTAACATGGACGTGGGAGCCAAAGCAACGAGTGCCCGTGGCGGCTCCCCAAGAGACTGCTGGTCTGGGGCAGGAAAGCAGGGCCCGGCGCCGCGGCCTCCTGGCCTTCCCTCTCTCAGCCCCTGTCCCACCGCACTCACTCTGCCACACGATGCTCTTCAGCCCCCGGTCCGTCACCGGAGGCGCCATCTTCCCAAACACCGCTGAGGACCAGCCGCCGCCTCCCACTCGCAACCCACTTCAGCTGTTAGAGGGGGTTCGGCCGGGCCCCGCCCGTCGCTGAGGGGAAGGCCCCGCCCACACCCACGGGCCGCGCCCTCCGGTGACGTCACGGGCGTCCGTAAGGGGATTCCCGCCCACCCCTGGACTGAGGCTGCGCAGTGCGGGTGGAATCTCCGTGGGCAGTTGCGCGCCCTCTAGCGGGAGGCTGTCAACCGAATTTCGACGTCCTGGGACGTCAGAAAGCGAAAGCGTACCGACGGGTTGTGAGCTAATACCATCTTAAGAAATCCCGAATTCACACATACGATTCATGAAAAAGGAAGGGATCCTTCGCTTTACAAAAGAGTTCTTTGCGAAGCGGTTTGTAATAGACTCTTCACTCAGTCAGCTACCGATTAGAAAATTTAGCCTCCAAAAAGTTTATTTTATTCACTTTTCAAGGACATAATCATTGTATAGAACTATGAGGTGCCGTCCACTGTGACCAGAACTCTGCAGGACTTTCAGGAAAGTCAAAAAAAGGAGACCCACTAATGAAGAATTTAAAATCTAATTAGCTCAATTCCTGGCGTGCCGAAGGTAGTCAAAAACTGGTTGAAGTAGCGAATGCCTTAATGGTGACAATATACATAAATGAACCAATAAAATAATAATTATTCAACAAACATAAATTTATGTGGGAGGGGCTATCAATGTTTTAGGATTTAAAAGAAGGGAATTATTGCTGATTCACAAAGGAGGTGATTGGAGCTCAGACTTAGAAAGTTTAGGCAGAGATCTATTTCCTGAGATGGTTCTTTTGAGACTTGAAATCAAAGCAATCATAGGGGAATTCCCGGCCGGTCCATTCCCGGACTCCCCACTTCCACTGCTGAGGGAGTGGGTTCAATCCCTGGTCCGGGAACTAAGATGCCGCAAGCTGCTTGATAAAAACAAAAACAAGTAGTCAATCATGAATTAAAAGAGTTTAGTTGCTGAGAACCGCCCCCCCCCAACTGTAACATAACCATCGTATACTGGTGGAAAGTAGACTTTCCCACACCCATTTGCAAAGAACCAATGGTTCAAGTTGGTCACATAGGGAAGCACAAATGGTTAGTCACTACTAGTAATAACAATGGCTAACATTTACTGAGGGCTTACTATATGCCAGGCACCATGCTAAGTGGATTATCTCATTGATCCTCAAAGCAACCCTTACAGACAAGGAACCTAAGGCTTAGTGAAGTTAAGTAACTTGCCAAGGATGCACAGCTAGTGGTGCAGTGGGAACAAGAAATCAGGCTCGAGCTACACAGAAAGCAATAAGGCAGTCTGTGGGATAACTGGCAATTTTTGCTTTTTAGCTTTTTAGGAGAGAGAAGGAGAATGAAGAATAAAAACAGCCATAAAATGGGTTCAAGCAAAACCTATGGCATGAATGGTTTTTCCATGCAAGTCTTGTATGGGCCAAGCTGGAGCTCTGGCCTGTTTCAAACGTATTTTGAATGCACTTAGGTGGTCAGAATTTTAAACAAATGCACACATTACATTCCTCTCCCTTTTCAGTTTTAAATCAGATTCTACTTAGTATACCCAGGTTGAGGCCCCAGGGATAAGAAAAAGACAAGGTACAGACTCACCCTTCTAAAATGGAGCTCTTTGCCCTAGAGGGTCAAACCAAGACAGAAGAGTGATGTGGGTGGAAGTGCCTGCATCCTCTACCCTTGAGGAGAATGACCAGGTGCCATGGGATAACATAGGCCTTTCTGGGTTGGAAGTTTGACTTGGGTCACATGGGGTATAGCTGTGACTCATGCCCCTGAAGGCCAGATTCCAAGGTGGCAGTGTGAAATAGCGGAGCAAATGTTGGGTGTTAGCAGCATATAGACATGGGTCCACAAACCCTGGCTTTGCCTTTAATTAGTAGTGTGACTTGAAACACTCCAGTGTCATTGCATTTATTTGTTGAATAGAGTATAATATCTCAAACTTCACAACAACCCAACAAGATGATAATCTTTATTGCCATTTTACAGATGTGAAAACAGATTCAGAGAAGTTAAATCACGTAAGACCTCAAGATGGCTCCAAAACCATTGCCCTTTCCATTGTACCACATTGCCTAAGCTCACTTGCTCCCCTAGTTTCACATAACCTCCCTGAGCTGTCTCTCTAGTCTCCTTTAGTTGGTTTGCCTGAACAGATTGAACAGGAATTTGAATTCCCTGAACACGACACAGCAGAATGGAAGGTAAAATCCACCAATGCTTGTCAGAGATGAAAAGTCTGCTTTGCATAATTTGTAGAGCTGATAAACTGCTACAATGATTGAGGGCTGAATGTAAAATCTCTTGAGTTAGGGCAGTTCACTCTCTCACCATCTTATTCCCAGGTCTTCTCCTCTAATAATTTATCACTTAATCATGATAACCCAGAGAAATATTTTCCGTAAAAATATCATGGACTAGCAGGTCTGATCAATGGCCCCCTGATAATTTGTGTTTCAACTGGTTAGCTGTGAGAACATGGATGAATTCCTTGACCTTTCTGGGTCTCATTTTTGTTAAATGTAGAAAGGAATAATATTATTATCTAGCTCACAGGGTTTTTATGAGAACGAAATGAGTATGCGAAAAGCACTTAGAAGCATGTAGTATGTGCTACGTCCATGTTTTGATTTTATGTTCACTCAGTGGGGACAACATTGTCTTCTGCAGAATTCTGACCAAAGCACCCCAGACTTAGATGCCTAGCTAAGTAGACAGGCCATTTCATTTTCTGTGTTCTGGTATTTATAGGGTATGAGTGTACTGGTCCCAGCCCCCTAGTGTCCTAGAACCAGGGATCCTGGCCTTCCATTTGGCCTTTGCCCTCGGCTCTTTGGCTGTTCCAGTCAGCCATGGACACAACTCTTTTCAGAGGGCACACCCTGCCAGCAACCGGGCTCAGCACGCAGTCTCACATGGGCTCTGAACCACAGCCCAGAACGCTGCCTCAGTTCATGGTTGACCTCACAGGGCATGGACCCACTCTGAACCCTCCAGATCTACTCACCAATCTTTCCTCACATGCCACAGCCCTCTATCTTCTGTTAAGTTAATTAAACAAGGAGGCCATTAGACTGAGGTCGTTCTCATACCTTAGCGGCCTTCCTAAGCAAACAAAAACCTAAGTCTGTAAGGGTCTCGAGGTTAAGAAATCAAAATCTAAGGACAACCAATCACAAACAGCCAACTAGGGTTTCCCAAATAAGGCAACCACTATAGCTATATAGCTATTGGCCATAGCTTTAGAGCTAATCAAATAATATCCTTGCTTTGCTTCTGCCTCTTCTCAATAAAAGCCCCATCACCACCAACACCCGCCCCCAGCACCTGTCAGTGGGGCGCTCCTAACCATTTCTGTTTTGGTGCTGCTGAATTTGAATCAATTTCTGCTCAAATAAACTCTTAAAATTTTTAATATGCCTCAGTTTATCTTTTAACACGTCTCAGCTTCCCATCATTGAAATGTTGCTTCAAGGAAGAACTCACCAAGGCAAGCCTTTTAAGGTTCCCAAACCCGGCTGCATGTCAGAATCACTTGGTGAGTTTGTTAAAAATATACATTCCCAGGCCTGGTCCCAAACCTGCTGGGTTAGAAATTCCATGGGTGGTACCCGGAAATCTATATTAAGTAATGGGTTCCCCAATTGATGTCGATACACCTAGCCTGACTCCGGTTCAGACACTGGTATTTAGGAACAAAAGTGAACTAAAACTTGGCCCTCCTCTGTGTGTGCTCTCTGATACAGCAAATTCCATTTTTCGGGATCCGTGTCTTCGTCTATGTCCTTTTCAAGTGCAGTTGCTCTGGGGAGTATCTCTCATCAGTCTTACACAGAAAGGGAAAGCAGACATAGAAAAGGAAGTTTGCTGCTCCCTCCTAGTGTACCTCAAGGCTAATTCCACACTCCAGTTCCCTCTGGGCAGAGTTTTATGGCTGTTCCTAACAACAGACGTTCTTAGTTCCACAGCTATGCTTCTGGGGAGTAAACACTTTAGTTACGTGTGTATTACACAAGTCCTACTCGCACTATCTTTTACTAAGGTTACTGGCACTTGAAGGACAAAATTATTTTAGGTACAACAGATTTATATTATATATCATTGCCTTTTCTCTCCAAAGATTAAAAAAAAAAGCAGTTAGAGTGTAAGCAGGGGCTACAGCCAGCAAGACTGATGGTCCTTCCCTATGTCACTCTGCCACCATTTGAGGCTCTGGTCCTGGCTGTCCCTCCATATGAAATCTTTGCTCATTCAAAAACATGACCACAGTCCTTCCAGCAACAGGCCAACAGCTCTGCTTTCCCAGACACACAGGTCTCATCACACGATGCTTTGGCTTGGTGAAGGCTGCAAGTGGCTCAGCTTCCTCCTAACTTGAGCTGAGGGTGTTTGTTACTACAGGTGGCCCTGGCAGCTGCTGCTATCCAACTTTGGCCAAAGTCCTGGTGGAGGCTCGTCTTGGGTGAGCGCTGTCTATGTGTGGTGGCTTGATTTCGACTTCTCTGAGGGTGGACGTGTCCAACCCTTGAATGGCTAGAGGGCCACACGGCAAGTGCTGGGGTCGATGAAATGCTTATGAAGTGGGTGTGCTGAAGTCCATAGTATGTCTGAATGTGAAATAAAGAATTTCTGCTAAGCAGAACTTTCACATTTCCAGGACTTTCCCAGTGTGCTGGCTCACTCTGGCAGCCTTCCAGAGGACTTTCTGGATTCATTTCTCTACTGAGTTCTCTCCGCAGCCGATCTTGAACTCCTGTGCAGGTGAGGTCACACCTTCCTGCAGGAAACGGAGCTAGAGTGGTTCTCTAAAGGCCAAAAGGGCTTGTCCTATCCTAGAGGCATTTTGCATTCTAATAGATCTTTTCCATCTCTAATCACACTAACAATTGAGGAAACTCTGAAAAAGATATGGGAAGAATTTTTTTAAAGCAAAGCAAAAAAAAAAAACTTTGCCTTTGAATCATACCATTTCAATTTAAATTACTCACTAGTCAAGTCTCTTTTTTTATCCATGGTTCACTATGTCACACCGCATTTCTCTTCCCTCTGTAAATCACTGAAAAGGCAAAGAAGGGAAGAAGCCACGAAATGCATTAAATTTGCAGACATTTTCTTAAATTAAAAAGCCCTTAAATGTCTCTGAGGTAAAGATTACCATTTTAATTTGAAATGCTATTTTTGCAGCACTTCACAGCAAATAAACAAAATTAAGAGAATCTGAACTGTTCAAAGGGCAAAAAGAAACTCACCAGCAGGTTCTAACTAAGCAGGGTATTCTCTCTCCTGCTTGATGAAATGAATCCTCCCCAAGAGTCTCTTTGAGCTCAGATTACTGACCCAGGACAAAGAACTTTCCTCTCCACCCCCAGGCCTTTTATTAATTGAGCTTACTTTGGGCCTGTCATTGTGACTAACAATGTATATCTCCTTTAATCTTCATAACATCTTATGAGGAGTTTTTTCCAATTTTCAGATGAGGAAACCTATACTTAGAATTGAAGCAAGTTGCCTCAGGGTAAGGGATGGTGGCCAGATTTGAATCCAGATCTGTCTCTTAAAAAAAATCCATTCATGCTGTTGAAAAGCTTTAGGATAATCCAAGAGTAAAGCAAGACCAAAAGTCTTAGACAAAAAGATTCCCAAGGCTTCTCTTAGCATATCTGGAGGCCCCATGTCAGCCAGGGACCTAATCTGACTACTCCTGTGTATAGAGAGGAGAAATGCTGAAATTGGAAGCAATTTAGAATCTCTCCCTTAATACAATGAATTCTGTATGATGTAGAGGCCCCCATATACTCATTTTTTGAGAGTCTTGCAGGATTTCTACAAGGATCTCCTTAAAGAGAGGGTCAGATCTCTTCAGGTTTAAGACTGAAATTGCTAAGGAAGGGAGAAGCAACGATCAGGGCCAGCCCAGAGGGACAGAGGAAGGGGACAGTAGTGACCTAGAGCAGGGCTTCTCAAACTTGGAGAGTCAGAATCACCTGGGAACCTGACAGAAACACGAAGGCCCAGGTCTTACCCACGTCAGCAGGCCTGGTTCTCTACGTCCTTTATTAGCTCTCCAAGAGATTCTGATGCACACCAGAGTTTGAACACTACTGTCTAAGCAGTGATCCTCAAACTTGAACATGCATATGAATCATCTGGGGATTTAGTAAATCTGGGTGGGGCCTAAGATTGTACGTTTTGAACAAGCGTTCTGGTGATGCTGATGAATAGCAAGGTCTAAGAGTGATGGTTTTCAAGCATTTAAAAAAAAAAAAGTATTGCGACTCTTTCTCTAACAAAATCTTAGGTAAGGGATTTCCCTGGCAGTCCAGTGGTTAGGACTCTGTGCTCCCAATGCAGGGGGCACGGGTTCGATACCTGGTTGGGGAACTAATATCCCGCATGCAGCATGGCGTGGCCAACAACAACAACGACAAAACAAAATCTTAGGGAAGACCAGAATACAATACACCACTCCTCACCTCTTAGGGGCCCCCAAGACACTTCTACTACCCCTCTATGGCTCAGGGGAAACACTAATTTAAAATGGCCATAATACTGGAAATAGTTTCCAAGAATGCAGACCCAGGCCCATGTACATTTCACTGAAGACCAGGGGCTTATGGTCATTAGTACTTTGGGAGTTTTTTAAAGTAATTTTTTATAATTTAGAACTTTCCTCACAGTTTTTTTTTTAACACCTTTATTGGAGTATAATTGCTTTACAGTGTTGTGTTAGTTTCTGCTGTATAACAAAGTGAAATCAAAAAGAGAAAAACAAAAACCGTATGCTAACACAGTTTGTTTTTAATAAGCCAGGTCTGTTTCCCTGTAGTCACTGGAAACAGAAACTCTTTAAAAATTAATAGGGATTATTCTTATTTCAGACCTGCAGGTGGGGCAAGAATTAGAAAGCATGAGTCCTGCTGTGCTCAGAGAAGTAGTAGACTGGGAGAGGAAATAGAGAACAGGCAGCACAGAGAAGCATGTGTCCTACCAGTGGAAGGAAGTTTCGGAGGGGAGCTGGCCCAGGCTGGGAGGCTGTCTGGTGGGCTTTACTGGTAGGAAGGCTTCATTTCCACTCACACTCTCTGATGTCAGCCATGTCTGATTGTGTGTATGTGTATGTGTGTTCACATGTCCCGTCTGTACTTTGGGGTTGATAATATTCCCTGGGGGTTTTCCCACGACCCCAAATCAAGCAGGCCTCCTAGAAGATCCCTCGTGAAGCAGTACATGCTACTTACTGGGTCAGCACACACAGCTCTGTGTGGTCATCTCCGTGGCCCCAGCCAAGTGTAGCCTCTGTGGGGCACCCCGAATAGCCTAGACAGGATCAGCCATGAGCACACCTGAGTGGCAGTGAGGGTTATCTTTACTCCAGCTACCCTTTCAGCACCCCTTTTCCTCTGCTGGCCATGTCCACCCATGCAAACTGGAAGCAGACATCCTAGCTCTCTGCAGGCTGTTAACAGATTCCAACAGCTGACTACTAAAAGTGAGGTTAGGGACTTCCCTGGTGGCGCAGTGGTTAAGAATCCACCTGCCAATGCAGGGGACCCGGGTTTGAGCCCTGGTCTGGGAAGATCCCACGTGCCGCAGAGCAATTAAGCCTGTGTGCCACAACTACTGAGCCTGTACTCTAGAGCCCGTGAGCCACAACTACTGAGCCCACGTGCCACAGCTACTGAAGCCCGGGCGCCTAGAGTCTGTGTTCTGCAACAAGAGAAGCCACCACAATGAGAAGCCCGTGCACCGCAACGAAGAGTAGCCCCCGCTCACCACAGCTAGAGAAAGCTCGTGTGCAGCAAGGAAGACCCAACGCAGCCAAAAATTAATTAAAAAAAAAAAAAGTGAGGTCAGACCAGCAGTATTGGCATCACCAGCATCACCCGGACCTTGTTGGTAGTGCAGTCTCAGATCTTTCCTACACCTACCAAATCAGAATCTGGTTTTAACAAGGCCCCAGGTGATTCAGATGTACAATAAGGTTTGAGAAGGTCTGCTCTAAAGCAGCAGTTCTCAGCTTTGGCTACACTTCAGAATCACCCAAAGAGCTTTTAGAAACCCTGATGCCCAGACTTTACCCCAAACCAATTAAATCAGATTTTCTAGGCATCAATTACTCTTAAGCTCTCAAAGTGACTCAGTGTATAGCAGGGTTGGAAACCACTCTCTGAAGTGAGGGATGAAGCGGCTGCCTCTCTGAAACATATTTACATTTTCCTGTGGGACCCTGGAAGACTGAAAAAATTTCAGAATCCAAAGGAGTTCATCTCCACTGGTGGAATCTGAGGGGAGACAATCTAATAGGGGAGAAAATGTTATGGGAGAGGGGAGCAAGGACCCCTCGCATCACAGAAAGAAAGCATTTGCCTTTCTAATTGAAGTCAGCTTTCTTTTTAAAATTAAGGGCTGCATGAGCCTTTGTTGTTGTTGTTGTTTTAAATTTATTTTTATTTATTTTGGCTACACCAGGTCTTAGTTGCGGCACACAGAATCTTTGTTGCGGCATGAGGACTTCATTGCGGCATGCACACAGGATCTAGTTCCCCCACCAGGGATCAAACCTGAGTTCCCTGCATAGGGAGTGCAGAGTCTTACCCACTGAGCCACTAGGGAAGTCCCTGAAGAGTCAGCTTTGATCCTGACTTAAGTCCCCTTAAAGAGCAACAAAAAAATTCCTTTCTAAAGTATCCATAAGAAAAATGACTTACCCATTCCAAGTGTACTTCCAGAACAGGTTACTGTAATAAATAAAAACACAAGCATTTAAAATATATTTATTGATGTATTTGAGATGGTGAAGATATAATTTAAGAAAGAATAATAGGAAAGTGAACCAAAGAATGAGTAAGAATCAGTTTAGGGGATAAGAGAAGGAGATACGTGCTAACAGTATGAACTTGGACAAGTTACTTGACTTTTCTGTGCCTCAGTTTATCTGTTAAGTGGTAAGAATAAGAATGCCAGCCTCGGACTTCCCTGGTGGCGCAGTGGTTAAGAATCCGCCTGCCAGTGCAGGGGACACGGGTTCGAGCGCTGGTCCGGGAAGATCCCACATGCCGCGGAGCAACTAAGCCCGTGCACCATAACTACTGAGCCTGTGCTCTAGAGCCCACAAGCCACAACTACTGAAGCTGGTGCACCTAAAGCCCACGCTCCGCAACAAGAGAAGCCACCGTAATGAGAAGCCTGCGCACCGCAACAAAGAGTAGCCCCTGCTCGCCGCAACTAGAGAAAGCCCACACACAGCAGCGAAGACCCAATGCAGCCAAATAAATAAATTAATTTAAAAAAATAACCTCATAGGGTTGTTATAAGGGTCAACTGAGTTAATACATGTAAAGCCCTTAGAATAGTGTCTGGCACACAGCACTCAATAAATATTAGTCATTATTATCATTTACAGTATCATCCTAATTACAGGATTAAGGCATCATTGATATTGGAGAAAAAAACACACACACCCAAAAAACGAAACCAAAAACCTTCCCCCAGATGCATGGTTTTTACTAGGGAGACAGAACAAAGGTAGATTCCTTAACTTGAGTCTAGACAGCCAACCCTTACTAAAGTGAAATGGCTACAGGCTTGAGATAACACCCCACCAAAGGTATTAGAGTTCCAACTAACAAACTATCAGAGGAATGACTCTCTAAGGGTTGAATTGTGAGTATGAAGTAGGAGAAAGAACAGACTTCCATCACTCACTTACTGGCTGTATAATCATAGACAAACACATACGCTCTTTTATTCATTCTTTTTTAAATTTAAAATGTATTGGGCAACAGTTACATGCAAAGTACTGAGAGTCCAAGAGATTACCATTTAGCAGAAATAACACACATTCAACTCACAGTAATATGGTGTGGTGAAGATAAAAGTGAGGTGGAGTCATAAAGGAGGGAAACAAACTCAGACTATGAGAACTGGAGAAGACTTCAGAGAGGAGGGAGAGTTTGGGCTGGTGGAGTTCCCTTGGTTGAGGTGGGGTGGAAATCCAGGCAAAGAGAGGAGTGCTGCATTACCTCAGAAACATGATGTGCCATGGTATGTGTGTGTGCCAAGGGCAGATGTGTGTGAATTGTTCCATGTGACTAGAGAATGGAGTCTTCTCAGGAGAGATGTTGCAGAATGAACCTAGAATTGTACTGTCCAATACAGTAGCCACTTACCACATGTAGCTATGAGCATTCCAAATGTGGCTACTCTGAACTGAGATGTGCTGTATTAAATAAATGCACACAAGATTTTGAAGACTTAGTATAGAAAAAATATATAAAATTTTTATATTGATTCCATGTTGAAAAGTAGAATATTTTGGATTAAAATTAACTAAAATATACTATTAAATTAATTGCACCTATTTCTTTTTACCTTTTTAACATGGCTACTAGAAAATTTAAATTTTTCACACTTGCATTAAATTTCTATTGGATAGTGCAGGTATAGAAAGACAGATGGGGGACAGATTGTAAGGGACCTTAAATGCCATGCTCAGAGGATTGAATTTTATTCTATGGGGCAATAGAAAATTTCCGAGGATTTTGAGGCATGAAAGAAAGATAGTTGGGTCAGTGTCCTAGAATGACAACTCTAGCAATAGTATGAAGACTGGCAAGAGGGCAGGAGGACAGGACTGGTGTAGTAGCATAGGGGAGAGGTAATAAGACCCTGAAATACTGAAGTAGCTATAAGAATGAAGAGAAGAAGTTGGATTTAGAAACCATCATGGAGTGAACAGGACAGGGCTGGGAGACTACTAAAACATGGAGGGTGAGGGAGAGGGAAGCTGACTCCTGGGTTTTCAGCTTGAGTACTTGAAACAAGGATGACAGAAGATCAAAAACTGCAGAAGATCAGAAATTCCTTTTAGCCTTGAGGAGTTGAAATGCCTGGGTCTTATCTCTAAGTAGATATAACACATTTGCATATGGATTTAGGGGTTAGAAGAAGAGAAGGGTTGTAGGCAGAGATTTGGGAGCCTCTGAGTCTCAGTTTGTTCATTTATATATTGGAGATAATAAAATCTGTTGAACCTACCTCATAGAGTTATTTTGAGCATTCAGTGAAATATTGAATATGAAAACGCTTGATAAATTTCAAAACATTATGCAAGTATAGTGAAGTATTGTTGTTGACCTGTAGGCTCTTCTTCCTAAGAGGTCATCCTCAGCCCAACAACCTATTCCTGGCCCTTCCCATAGGGCCATGCTTTGGGCCAGCTTGTCCTCTGGACAAGATAATGAAAAAGCAAGGAATCAGAGCATGACAACCAAGGACAGCAAGAACACCCCCTGAAGAGGACCTGGCCTCATTCCATCACCAGGAGCCATATTGAACCTTCTTGTCACCAACCCATAATTGGAAATTTTAGATTCTGGTTATTAGTAAAGTTTCTGAGCCAATATTTATTCCTCTTCTTGTGTTCACCTGCAAAGTTCTAGGGCTTCATCATCTCTTCATTTTATTTTATTTTAGAAATATATGAAAACTATATGACTATGCCCTGGGCAAGGTAGCAGAACGTGTTGGAATACAGAACAGGAGAATTGCTAATGTTTTTCTGCCAGCTCTGGTGAGATGGCAGTGGCTGACATTCATGTGTTTTGTGATCACAGACTGTCTGCCCACTCATATTTCCAAACCTAGCTTATGATTTATAAATTTGTTTTTTTCTGATCCTCCAACTCTCCCTCAGTCATAAGTCTGAATCTGTGCAAATAAAGGTTCAAGTCTCTTACTTCAAACATTCAGGTTGTTTGTCATGATCTCTAATGCTATGTTACAAACCTATCCCCAAATCTCAAAGCAGAAAATCATTTTAAATCTGCTTTACTGTTCAAGCAGCAAGCATCTGGTCCTTTTTCTGAAGGAGAAAAGAGAGAGAGGGATGAGAGGAGTGTCTCCAAATCAAGTAATAATAAAGCATCACAATTCCAAAGAAGCTTGGGGTCCCCAGTAGCCAGAATCTGCCTGCAGGAGGTACACAATGTCATGCCCTCTTTGACCTTCCTACATAGCAAATAAGTGTGATTGTTCTGAGTCTTAATTCACAGATTGAGTTGAGGGCTAGTTTTAAATAAAGGGTCATAATTTGTCCTACCTGAATATATTTTTTTTGGACAGAAAGTAAGCTTCAGTCCTGTCTCAGCAACGGGGGAGACCATCACGGTATATACATCCCCGCAGGGTATCTCGGTGATATCACAGAAACTGAGACCAGCGCTTGGGGCACACGTGAAAATGCCTTTGGAACCATAGAGGTCAGTGCTGTAATTGGCAGAGCCCCTGGAGGCCTGCCAGTAGATCCGGATACCATTAGGGACCAGCCTATATAATTTCACCCCCAAAGGGCAGCAGGAACCTGAAGGATAAAACAAACAAAAACAAACACATCAGTCTTCCACCATCACCACAAACCTGGCCTTTGTTATTATGGGGAAACAACCTAAGTAGCCTACTCCATAATAAATGATTAGAGCAAGATTTGAGGAAGTATTCAAGTTCCTTCTGTGGTGGGTCACATGATTAGAAATCCATGTGTGAGGGTGAGGTGGGGCATGAGTTTTTAATAGAGAATAATGGTGAGGCCAAAAGTCCACGCTTGGTAGATATGTATTGTATATGACTCAAACTTTATGAGTCAAATGCACAGAATTCTTGTCAAGATCTCTCATAATGCCCTATTTTCATACGATTTTAGTGGGATTCAATTTAAATATAATTCAGTGCATTCAGCATTAACTGAAAAGACCTATTTTGCTGAGCTGAGTAGCATGACACCTGTCGCTGGTCCACTCTCCATGCATGCTAGCTGACTGGGTACTTTTCCTTTCTCTTTTCCTGAGTACCTTGAGCAGGCCATATATGAGGTGTCAAATGGTGGATTCCTCAGTAACTAAAATAAAAATGCTATTGTATAATAATAAAAAATTCAGTTACAGATAGACGTCTTTGATTTATTCTTTAAAAAAAAAAAAAAAGGTTTTTTAGGTGTGAAGGTAAGCAATGGGCCATATTTCCAGAACTGGATATCAAGGTGAAAAATTAGGCAGCAAACCTAATGAAAGCTAATAGGCCAAAAGGAATGATAATCCAGCTTATGTATGTGTAGCACATTTTAAGTGCTTTCATATCATGATCATTCCTATTTCTCTTACCAATGAGGAAATGGAATCAGAGAATAAGATAACGCGGTGCAGCTTAAGAAGCCAGGTCTTTAAGCTCCTAGTTAAAGATTCACTCTACTACCTTTGGGATGCCAAGATTATATTTCAACTCTCCCACCCCATGCCTCGGGGCAGATACAGCTAACTGGTCATCGTACTCTCTCCCATTAAGCCTGAGAAGCATCCTTAGAAGATTTTTTCGAAACAGTTCTCCAAGCAGCCACTTCCATGGACTAGAATCACACCAGAGAAATCTTATTTGCTAACCCTGTACCACTCCCTACTTCTCCCACTATTTCCTAGTGGCTTGGTCTTTGTGAAGAACAAGATGCAATACTGTGCTCTGTTAACCTGTTGAAATAAGAAACCATAGAAGAAGCTGGAGTGGTTTAGAAGAGTGAGGTAGTAGCATAAGAAGAAGAAGAAAGAAAAATTCAAACCAACTAGAATGTGTGATCTAAATCCTTTCTGAAAACTCTGCCAGACTGAGTTACTCTGTGCTGCAGGTAGCTGGGTCATATAAAAACCTATCCTTCTTTCAGAAAAAGTACACCTGAACCTTGTTACCAGGGGAGTTAATTCACCAACTACTAACAGAAGCCTCTGAACCTTTAAGGTCCTAAGTCAAGAGGAAAACTGTAAACATTTTAGAAAGTAATCTGAACTTACCATGCAAGCTTGGTGGAGATGCAGCATCTTTTAAAATGAGATGGAAAGGCTATGTCTGGATCTATAATAGTCAAAGTCCTTGTTGATACTCTAGAGCTAGAGGTTAGAATTCACTTACTCGAGGAATAACTTTGGTAGCCACAGTCCGCAGTCAACCCAGTGGCACTAATTGCTTTTAATGCCACTGTGTAATTGATGCCGCATGTGATGCATCCCAGGAGGCAGTGGTTTTGACGGGTGTGACACTTAGACTGTCCAGTGTGTGACTCCAGAGCTGTCACATAGGTTTGGGCGCCGGTCCCAACAGTCCAGCTCACGTTGATTACCGATTGTGTGACCTGAGTTACTGTCAGACTGGCTGGGCAGCACGGCACTTAAATGAGGAAAGAGAAAAAAATTGGGGATTTATTTCCAGTGAGGGTTATTTGTGAAAACTAACCAAGTATGGTATTTTGCCTGTGTTTCATTCAATATCCTAAATTTCTCAAACCTTCAACTGTTAATCAAAACGTCCTTAATAACTGTAAATGGAATATAACCTTTAAAAATTGTGAATCACTATATTGTAACTTCTATAACATTGTACCTCAACTATACTTCAATAAAAAGATAAATTTAAAAAAACTTAAAAATTTTTCTCTTGTTAAGTGAAATCTCATTCCCTCTGATACGTTATTTAACATCACTGTATACAGCAGGTGATTTCCCCAAGAATGCAGTGCAATAACTGGCTATGGGTAGTGTGAGATTCTCCCCAATTTTTTTCAGAATAAGAAAGAAACCCTTTGTTGTTCTCCAACTTTAACAATTCCAATTGCAAATTTTAAAGCAATGGTTGCATTCACCTTTTCTCCCAATATATCTTAACGTTTGCAATGAAATGTATTTTGCCTTTCTCATGCATTTCATAGTACATAGTTGATATAAAAGCTCAGAATATTCTTAGCCACCTAAGACTACCACAACCAATTCTCAACTTTTCAAAGATCCGTTATACAGGATATAGAATATCTGGAATCTTCCTGCGTATTTGGCATTGTCTCTGTTATGCTGCCCTTTACGTTTCAACTTATCTAGTCTAAAGTGCCATCTATCATTGTATATAAGAGAAAATAATGTTCAAAGGCTTTAATTTGCTAAATTTCATTCACACACAATGCTATGAAGCAATAACAGCTTTCGTTTATCATGCTCTTACTGTGCATCAGGCACTCTAAGTGCTCTGCAGCATAGATAACGTAATATTCACAGCCACCCGATAAAGCCATTATCCCCTTCTAGCAATTAGGAAACTGAAACTCAGAAATCAGTTTTTAGAGAAAGATTTGAAAGGGCGGAACCAAAGAAATAAATAATAAACTAGCTCATTTGGTCACTTGTTAGTTGTTTTGGTAGATTGTGTCATGGGGGAATACGAATTCAAATAAATGTTTTTGCAGAGTCAATGTATTCCTCCTTTGATGTTGGTATTTGAATATATTAGAGCCTTCAGATGATACTTTTACAGAACCTGTGTGAAAGTTTTCTAAGACTGGGGCTCTTTGAAAGGCCTCTCTGAGTTTAAGGTATTTCTATCACACTTAGGGTAAATCAAATAAGAAAGTTCATGTCCTAAAACAATTCCTAAGGACCCCATTGAAGTTGAGGTTCAGGCTGTGGTGGCTACATACCCGTTTCTAAGGGCACACTGTAGCTGGGCAGGCTCCGTCCTGCTGGTGTTTCAGCCACAGCAGTGACGGAGAACACTGAGCCGCAGGGCAAGCCCCACAAGGTGCAGGACTCTCCCGTGCTGCTGCACCGGTGCAGCCCTTTCTCTCCCTGGGCAGTCACCGTGTAAGTGGCCTCATCATTAGTGGATCGCCAGTACACGTTAATCATGGAAAAGGCATCCTTCGAAACATTTTTGATTTCAGGACTGCAAGGAGCTAAGAGATTTTAGATTATGAATTGAAACAGTCAGAATCAAAAATATCACACGTGCCATTTGGTCTAAAACTGACCTTTCCCCCCCATATGAGATCATTACTTTCGACCATACCATGCACATAGGGCAAATTCATAGAGCCTTTGTGCGGAAACCTTGTTGACACTGACATATGGTATTGGGTTCCCATAGCGTCGGACTAATTAGAAAATGTTAAGGAGCCATTTGAACTCCAATAGCGAAAGTAATTAAGACAAACATTTGTGGCCTTAACCTTCATGGTGTGAATACAGGCAGGTGCCCCAAAGGTAGGAGGAAGTGAATGGCTGAGGTAATCTCTAGCAAAACCTTCCACTCTCCCCATGGTCTCCTATTTCCGTTTTGTCCTCTTTCCCTCTTCCACCTTCTCTTCTGCCTCTCCTTAGTAAGACAGGGGCTCTCAGGGTCACCACAACAGGGTGGCTAATGGCAGTTAGCCTTTTTACCGAATGCCCTTCCTGAGGGACATAGCTGGGGGGAGCCGTTCAGAAGCAATGAATGAAATCTTTCCTGTATCATACCTGTGGTTATAAATCGGGAAGTACACGATGTATTGCTGCCCCGGACTTCACTGAAGGAATACACCGTGATGTTGTACTTGGTGTCACACTCTAGAGCAGAAAGGGTGCAAGCCGGAACAGTGTCATTGCATTCAACCACGCTGAACCCATCTACAGCCTTGGTTTCATAAAGTTCGGCACCACGGACAGGAGACCAGACGATCTCTACTCTGTCACTGGACACCAACACAGGGTTAATGTCACCAGGACAACAGGGGGCTGAGAGCAGGAACAGAGGGAGAGCGGAGGTCAGTACAGGAGCCATGCTGTCAGAGTGGCATTGAGTCCTGGCGTCTCTGTGCCCAGAGCCTCTGCACTACCCTCCTAAGTCACTGCCACAATCTCCTACAGGTCTGTCCAACTCCAATCCTGGCCTAACACCCACTACGTAGAGGATAAATTCTCCATGCATGACATTCAAGGTTATTACAAACTCTACCCAGTCGATATGTCCAGCTGCCCCTCCCCATCCCCTGCCTCACCAGACCCCTCAATTCCCACACGCGCTTTTATTTCCCTATGCCTCAAAGATTGTGTTCGTGCTACTGGAATGAGGTTCCCTTCTTCTGCCTGACAAAATCATGTTTAGTTTAACTTTAGATCCTATCAGTCTTTCCAGACACTAAACTAGATAAAACTAGGGGGTGGAGGAGGGGAAGAAGCATTGTATTAGTAGATTTTAGAAGAGGCCCTATACTACCTCACAGACAAATTCTGACAAGTGTCTAACTCACATGGAGTTTCTCTGGAATGCTCTTGCCCCACCTACATTCCACCATCCTTAAAGGCCTCTACCAGAGGCCACTCCCTCCGGTAGACCCTCCTGGGCTCTTGAGACCTTATTGATAGCCTCTGACTCTAAATTCCAAAAGCACCAATTACTTGATTCCTTCATCTTGGTAAAAATGTAGGGGCCTAGGTTCGATCCCTGGTCAGGGAACTAGATTCCACAAGAATGCCACAACTAAGAGTTCACATGCCACAACTAAGGAGCCCTCCTGCTGCAACTAAGACCAGGTGCAACCAAATAAATAAATATTAAAAATGTATTCCAGCTAGTATTATTTATATAATTATATTATTCTTGTTTGTCAATATAGTTAATTAATTTTGTCACTCACTCCATTCATTCTTTAAAAATCGAGCATCTCCCATATGCCAGTCATACTATGATAAGCATTCAGGATGAGAGATAAATAAAACACAATCCCTGCCCTTTGAAGACCCAAGCCTAGTGGAGAATGATAGTAAAAATAATAATGATGTTAATAAAAGTATTTGCATTGTGCTTTTCTCATATACAAAGACCTTTTCATATTCATGTTCTCATTATTATTTGTCCCATTTTGCAGTAGCAGATACTAAGGAACTTAGCAAGGTAGACATCATTATTCCCATTTTGCAAATGAGTCGGTGGTCAAGTTAGGACTTAAACCCAGGTGTCCTACTCCAAAGCCCTCCACACCTTGTAGAATCTTTGCCATTGCATCCCTGTTTTCTGGGCTTGCGGAAAGAGTGAACTCTGAGACCTAAGGATCACCTCCCCTTCAGCCTTCAGCACAGGGCTGAACACCGAGTAGATCTTGGTGGAGGGTTCAACTTTTCAGAGCAAGCTTGAATAACAACATTATTTCCCTTCTTTTCACTCCTAAACCTTTCATTCTTATTAAACTTGAGTCCATGAAGTCCAAATTCCCTAGTCTGGAAAGGATGTGAAAGAAGAGATTCACTTTCCGTTCTTGGCCCTAGAATGGCTCCCAGGTGGTCTAGGTAAGTCAATAAGTGCAATGGATGATCCATTCTGCTGCTGAGTTTAGTGAACTCAGAACTCAACTCCCTTTACAAGCATCAAGTGCAACTCACCTGTGGTATAATTAAACACATCACCCAAAGGACTCTGTCCTGCCTTGTTATAGGCAAAAACACTAATAAAGTAAGTGAAGCCACACTCAGATAAGAAATTGCACTGGGTGAGGGAGGTGTTGCAGTGTACTTCCAAGCCATCGTCATTCTTCACAAAGGCCACATAGTAATCACCCAGATGCACGCTGGACCAAACCACAGACAGGTGGCCAGGGGGATCTTCTTGGATTGTCACCCTTCCAGGTGCACAAGCAACTAGGAAATGATAAATAATAAACAGTTGTGAGAGTACTGCAAGAGATTTTCTTTGCATCTTTCTATGCAAGTAGTTCTTCACTAAATGTTAGTTCTCATCCCCAAAACACACAGATATTTCTAAATTGAAGCATAGACCTCCACATATGTATGTCTTTATCTCTTTGATGAGAATGAAAGTGGGAAGATATCTAAACACATATTCCAAACTATAGACATTCCATCTTTATCTTAAAAAAATAGCTCCTACCAGGCCTAGGTCTGTGAAACATGATGTAAATAAGAGACCACTATCTGTACTGCACAGCTAGAGTTGTGTATCACTCAAACTGGATCCTAGAATATTTACAACTTTACAAATGCAAAAGAAATAAACTAATTAGTGAAAGATCTGGAATAGGAACCAGGTTTCCTAATTTTCAGTGTTTTTTCCAATGCACGAGATCTGGTTTCACTATCAACATTATTCAAACTCATCAGAAAGTCCAACTCAACACTTTCATTTAGACCAGGCTTTCATTTTTGCTTGTTCTAGAGTGTTCTGGAACATTGTCATGTGATTATTTGTTTCCCTAATGGTAGTCACTTTGGCTTACCAACCCCCCAGTGATCTCACTCTTGTTTACATACCAGTTCTCAGGGCCACTGCTGAAATTGATCTGCTAGATCCGGCATCATTAGCTGCTAAAACTGATATCAGGTACTCGGTTCCACACTGGAGAGAGGAGATGGTGCAGGAACTGAAAGTCGTACTACAGCTCAGCCTGGAAGAGTCACTCAAAGCCATCACGGTATAGTTGAAAGCTCCTTCTGTCGGTGCCCATGAAACATATGCCTTCAGAGAACCACTATCAAAAGAGACTTGAATGTTGGCAGGAGCACGAGGACCTACATTTTTGAGAAACAATTAAGATTTTTGCAGTAACCTCAAGAACCCAAGTAAGATTTGACCTAACAATATTGCAGAGCTTGGAGGATGGAGTACTCCAATCATGTGATACTTGCAAGTGTACAAAGCATAAAATTGGGATTTAGGGTACCTGAGAACTGGTAACACATCTCCCATTAACTATGCAAACTCATAACTAGCTATATGACTTAGGCCATGTTATTTAATCTTTTTGTTATTTATTCATTTATTTTTCTCATCTGTAAAACAGATCCTAGCACATAGAGGTACTAAATAAATATCTTGAATAAATGAATGAGTGAATGCACAATTTGATAAGTGATAGAAATAATTAAATGAAATTATAAATGTGAAGGGCTAAGAGGGCCATGTGGGTATGTTATCAAGTGGTAGGTCAAATATTCTCTTATAGATTGATAAAGTTAAACAGATTAGTTTCAACAACATTTCTTCTTTACTTTTGACACATGCTAAGACATGTAAGAGCTTTTAGGTCACAGCTGTTTACAGAAGAGAAGACTTTCTATTCTAAATCAAAGGGAAAAAAGGAAAGTATCAAGTGTGATGGTCACACAGGAAGGCAGTTTTTTAGCATCTCCAAAACGATTTCCTCTGCATTCTTAGAAATATGCCTTCCTTTCATCAGGCTTATCCGCCTAAAAAACCTTGAGGCCCTCAATAAATGTTTGTGGAGAGAAAGAATGAGTGAATGTCTTGGAAGAGGCCCAGAGAGACTGGTTTGTCACAGACATCCTGACTCACCAGGCCCATCATGAATCACCTTAGGGCCACCTTGCTCTGATTTCTACCTGGAGAAGTAATATAAAAGGCAAACCCTTCACTTCTCCCTACATTTCTGCTTTGGCCTATAGACAATGGGGCTTCCACTCCCCTCCAAAGTAGGAACTGTTGGAGAGAACATTCCTGGTTTCTTTCCACTTTATCCTTGGTCCTCCCCAAGAGATGAAACAGCTAATCTGGTTGGTGAGTCCGGCATCTACTAGGCCATATTGTCAGAGGATGACTCACTCTGCCTCAGGAGAAGGGAAAATCTCTCTCCTTCCCTCTCTCTCCATCTCATTCTTTTGGCTCAGAGCAGCAGCTCAGTTTGGGCATCTAGTTATCATGTAGTAGGATGCCCCCGGTCAGGTATCCCTGCACTGGGGATTGTGAGAACACACACCATGCATCAGCTTCTCAGCCTATAGCTGGAGGAGAGGTGGTGGGAAGCCCCTCGTTAACCTCAGGCCCAAACTGAGGACTTTGGGAAATATATCTGAAATATTGATTCCCACCACAGCACAAAGTACCATAACAGGAAGTTTGTTTTTTTTGTTGCTGTGCCTCTAGAGCAATGCCAGCTGAAAGTGGGGACACACTCATTAAATGTCTGCTGAATAAATTCTTGTTTGGCCCAGTTTTTTTTGTCTCTACTCCTGGTCTGAACCTATGAAGGGACAAGAGGTGACTGGTAAACCTAATAAGAATTATCTCCTACTGTGTGATATTGAACATGTAAGCTGAAAATAAGTTGGCTCTGGGTGGGTGGTGCCACATGCTCTGTGCGCTCTGAGCAGCATTTCTTTTCTTTTCTTTTTTTTTTTTGCGGTAGCGGGCCTCTCACTGTTGTGGCCCCTCCGGTTGCAGAGCACAGGCTCCGGACAAGCAGGCTCAGCGGCCATGGCTCACGGACCCAGCCGCTCCACGGCATGTGGGATCTTCCCGGACCGGGGCACGAACCCGTGTCCCCTGCATCGACAGGCGGACTCTCAACCACTGCGCCACCAGGGAAGCCACCGAGGAGGAATTATCAAGACACTATAAATAAGCTCATAATAAATTTAAATAGCTGCTGCCAGCTGCTCTGTACTTATCACTTAACGCTGCTCTCAGTGACTGCAATGCACAGCCCTTCTCATTAATCAAAAAGGAGAAGGTTGGGACTGAGCTGCAAAGTCCTTACCTGTTCTCTGATTGCAGGTGGAGTCATCCCCAGGTGTTCCGCTGGCATTCCACGCATAGGCCTTTATGGTGTAGAGAGTCCCAGCGTCTAAACTGGTGAATGTCAAGGAGGTGTTGGTGGTATTTTCTTTCCATATTCTCCCCAAACCATTAGCTCGCATAATGGACACAGAAAATCCAGTTGCCATATATACGGTTTCCCACTGCACAAGAATAGAGTCTGGACTTGGAGAGCTTACTTGTAGAATTGGTGCAGCCAGCACTACAAAGACAAAAACCTGTGCATTTGTGTTACGAAAGTGCAAGAGAGGCTAATTCAAATTTAGGAATAGGTAATTTGAGGCTGATTATCCATATTATGAAAAAATTATTTACTTTGCAATAGGATTCATGAAAGAGTTCCATTAAACAATTGGTATTTAAATGTGTATTAATTACAGATGACTCAGCAGAGGAAGGGGGAACAGAGAAATTCTAATATTAGGCATACCTTCAACTGGAAGTTGGTAAGAAATTAGATAAAACCTCCCTGTAATCATAATATAAATCAATGGGGGGAATGATAGTTTATACTATTTTAACATGCACGCAACCTTTCAGAAATATGCTGAGGTACAACTTTATCAAATCAATTTAAGTCATGCTGATGACAAACTCTAAATGGTTTTATTTCCAACAAGTCAAAGTGCAGCAAAATCACTTCTATGTGTTCTTTATTCCACATGGTCTTTATTGATAATTGAGGTTAAAAACAGAAATCCCTGGGCTTCCCTAGTGGTGCAGTGGTTGAGAATCCACCTGCCAATTCAGGGGACACGGGTTCGATCCCTGGTCCGGGAAGATCACACATGCTGCGGAGCAACTAAGCCCGTGTGCCACAACTACTGAGAGTGCACTCTAGAGCCCACGAGCCACAACTACTGAGACCGTGTGCCACAACTACTGAAGCCCGCACATGCTAGTGCCCATGCTCTGCAATGAGAAGCCTGCGCACCGCAACGAAGAGTAGCCGACACTCTCCACAACTAGAGAAAGCCCGCACACAGCAATAAAGACTCAATGCAGCCAAAAATAAATAAATAAATTTATAAAACAAACAAACAAACAAAATGAAACAGAAATCCCTTTTTCAGAGATTTAAAAGCACGGATGCTTTTAAAGATACTCAGAAATGGGTTTTATTTTCCAAAGCATCTGGAATTTACATACCACCTCCTCCACAGACATTTGAATTCCAAAAAAAAAGTCACTTGGTGGCTTTCACTTCTGAGCCTTGAATCATAGACATTCACATGACACAGAATTACATCATGCATTTGCATCCTCAGTATAATTGATCCAGGTCACAAGCAATTGCTCAACAGAGGATGAGCAACCAGCTACCTGTCTTTGCCTGCTTTGGAGGCGATGCCTGGCTTCTCCCAGCAGGACTGATGGATCTGATGGTGATTTGGTACAAGGTTGCAGCCTTCAGGCCCGTCACAGTGCCTGGGGAACTGGCCACCACGGTTTCAATGACAGCGTTCCCGTCTCTGGCCGTGAGGAGGTAACCGGTGGCCCCTGGCACTGTAGCCCATTCCACAGTGATACTGTTGCTGAGTTTTGAATACGCCTGATCGATAGTGGGTATTTTGGGAGCTGAAAGAGATTTTGAAGGTGTACATTAGCTAGGGTACCTGTAAGGATTACTTCTTTCATCATTTTACTTTCAAACTAAGTCATTCTCATGTCATCCTTCAGACATAAACCTTGCCCTTGTTTTCCAGATTAAGAAACAAACAAACAAACAAACAAAAAAAACAGAGGAAAAGAAAGGAAAAGCTACTCTCCAGAAGAGAGCAAGAAAGCTCAAACCTCCCATTCAGGAATGGGACTTCAAAGAGGTTTTTCCCAGTTGCCTCTGGGATAATTTGCACTTTTTGTACTTTTAAAAGAGTTAACTAAGAGTAGGGAGTGATTTGGGAGAAGAACTCTGAGGGGAGGGAGAGAGAAACTGAGGGCTCCCATTCTGGAGGCTAATCCAGTCTGGCTTCTATGAATCCCCAGGCATGCTTTGTCACGGGCCTCCCCTCCCTGCCCCACCTCTATGCGACGTCTCCAGCAAGGGTCCACCTTCATACCCCACCTCTGTCGAGGCTGTGATTTCCACCCACGCACTTTGCACATTTTCCAAGTGGCATTTAATCTAATGGAGAAAGGGGGAGAATTGAGTTCTTTGCTTCATAATTGAGCATACTGTCTTTAATATTATCAGAGTGTAACAATTTTCAGATTCTTCTATATAAGATAAAAATAAACTTTATTCTCTCCTTCTCTATCAAAACATCTGCCCCAGCCTAAGAATGAGATGCCGGGGTCCCTCCTCACCTAGGCCTGGCCATGGTTTGCCAGGAGGCCGTGAATGCTTATGTCATGAGTTTACACAAGGCATTCCTATACTTTAGGCATGGGGTAGAAGATGCAACGTGGTAATCAGATTTACTACTCTGCAAAACTCCACGGACTCAAAAATGCCCTGGGTGTAGGAGGTCCAAGTAGAAGAAAAGGTCAAACAAAAATATCCGGGTTTTAGGTTTGGAGCTGGCAACTGGTCTTTTATATTTATTGTACTGCATTTGCTGGGTAAAATCACTATATGCCAAGTTCAAAACTAAAGTGCAAAACAAAACTCTAGGGCAAAGAGGAGAAGTAAATACCGTCCAAATGTGTGATTTGCCAGTATCAACTCCCTCCCTCCAACAGACCCTAACCTGCAAAACGTGATACAGACAACTTCTCTTTCTGTACCCATAGCCCAGAAAGTTGGCTTTGGCAGCGTCTCAGAAATAACCACGCTGCAAGAATGAACAAAGAGTCCACTGTGCACTGGCCAGACGTTCCTTGAACATCACCCAGGACTGTCTCCTTTGCCATCAAAAGAAAACTGTGATGGTTATAAATGCTGGGGAAAAGTTGCAGGGGCTCATCTTAGCCATTTGCCAGCAGAAGCTGACTCTGCGGGAAGCGCCTATGTCCCCTCCCTGTTGTAGGATAGAAAGCCCCCGCAGGGGTCTCACATTTATCCCTCCTACACACTCATCCCTTTTCTGCTCCCCCAGTTATTTGTTCTCTGTTAATACCTTCTTTCCTCTAACTTTGCGGTGTCTCTCAATCCCTGCTGCTTCCTTTGTCCCCATTGTTCATCTTATCTCCTGTTAGCTGGTCCTGCTCATTGGAATGGACTAATTTCCTGGATAAATGACAACCAAACTAGACATTGTTGTGACAGTGCCTTCATGGTGGTTTGAAAGGCATCTAAAAGGCTGGCATGACACCGGCTATCTCCCCACAGGCCTGTCAAGGGGCCTGAGGACTCCACAAAATTTGTCGTATTGAATTGAGCTGGGAAGGGCACATTTGCCCAGCATAGTAGTACATGAAGCCAGTATCAGCAGGATGAAACGCGGGGTTTCATGATGGGAAAATAGCAAAGGCTTTGGATTTCAGAATGCTGGGTTTGAGCCCTGGCTCTGCCATTTACTTCTGTCTGTGAACACGTACAAGTGATTTAACCTCTTCTAGTCTCAGTTTTCTTCCTTGAGTATATGGAATATTAATAATTCCTACATCTTTGAGTTTACTTTGAAATGTAAAATACTTACATATTAAGATGGTAAAGATTAAGTAAAATAGTGAATGTAAGGGCACATTGAAAGTTAGGAAGGGTTAGTGTGTGTGTTTGTGTGTGTGTGTGTGAACCACGACGAGCAATTTTGGGGTTTGGAAAAGCCAGACTGCATGGCACTGCCATGGAGGGGTTGCTGCCAGGGAAGGTGGGATTATGGAGATTCTGGGGTAAGCACAGGCTGGAGAGACAGATTGCCTGTTTACACATGGTTCTAGAGCAGGATCTGACCAGTAACAGCAATGAAAAAAGATCAACACCTCTGTACTATGTTTCCCTTAAGGAGATGAGAAGATTGAGCAGGACGTGTAAGTCTCCATAAATTAGCAGCACTTCTTCACTCTTTCTTTGTTCTGTATTTGGCCCGCTTACTGCACTGATGAAAGAGAAAAATTTATTCCCTAGATTTGCAATCAACCACTCTGATTAGTCAAAAATGAAACCTTTTGAGTCACAGCATCTGTGCATTCTACCAACTCAGAGATCTAAATTAGCCCACGTGGCCCCAGTGGCCAGACACAGATAAACAGCAGATGCCAGAGCCCAAAAAGAATCAGAATACACACACCCCAAATGAAACCTCCTATACAGTATCAATAAAACACATCACGTCTATTGAAAAGACAGGATGGATCAATTAACAGCCTCACCGGTACATCAGTCTGCCCCTTTCTTTTTCTCAAATAGTGTGGATAACGTGGGACTAAAAAGAGGCCTGTTCTGAGGGCTCAGTGTGTCCTGTGGTCCTGGGACCCTCTAAGAGACAGCAGAACTGGATTTTATCCAATCGAAGGGCCACTGATTTTTTAAAAATCACTTTGTTTATGGCTAAATAGTCCTTCTCACAGCTTCCTGGTCAATCCTGAAGGTGTCTCAAGAATAAGTGAGTAAGAATAAAGCATGAAATAATAATTTTTAAAAACCTATTATATAAGCACGGATTTTATGGCTCAGCCAAAAATCTATATCAAACATTTTAATTGCCTTATTTACATTTCCTTTTCTGTGGTATATACAAAATAATAAATAATATTTGTTCTTATTTGTGCTGAATTACTAAGAGAGTTTATTGGTGATATAATTAATATTATATGGTTCCTTCAGTTAATCTAAATTCCATTGAACATAAGTTTCCATTCTAGGGACTTAAATTTCTAGAATGTATGAGCCAGCAGAGGCCTGTAGAGAAATTATCCTCGCCTTCAGTCATTTATTCAAGAAAAATGGTGATAAAATCTCTTAAAAGAAAGCCTTTTTCCAGCTCTGGGTTTTCATTGTCTATATTTTAAGGATGCAATATTAGAAGTATAAAATCTTTTTTATTAGAGAATCTAATCTTTTTATTAGAGACTCTTTTATTAGAGCATCTTTTATTAGAGAATTTTGATCAAAACTGTTTCTAGTTTTCTCCTCTGATTCCTTAGAAGACAAATTAGGCTCTTCACTAAAATTTTGTTTCTTTGACTGGAATGATGATCATTGTAATACTTTACTGATGGTTAACCATGTTTGAGAAAAATCTATGACTGCATGACTCTATACATCTCAGGACTCAAGAAGAATATCTTATGAGGATGTATCTTTAAATTTTGATCCATGTATTTGTCTTACCAGTTACACTCACAGTGTGAGTGCTCAGAAAATGTTGAATATTTTTCCTGGTATAGCCTTTATATTTCAGGATAGCCCAGGAATTAACAATGGAAATTAAAATCAAATACGGGGAGGGTAAACTTGCATTTCAGAGAATGTTACCTGTTTTTGTTGAAGCAACCTGAAAAAAGGAAAGTTTAGAATATTAGAACCATAAAGAAAAACATCATTTGGGGAAATGTAAAACCTAAGTCAGAGCAGTAATATACTTAGCACAACATGTTTATACATAGTGTGAGCAATCTTCCAATCCACACACTGTATTTGCACAAATTATTTTCAACACTCAGATCTACCACAATCCTAAATAAAATTGAGAGGATGGAGAGAGATCACATTACTGTTTCATTTTTCTCCCTGAATCTGCCTATTGAACTAAGTCAGTAGCTGCTGATGGATTTTTCAGAAATCTTTGTTCTTAAAACATAATGATATCCTTGTTTTCTTTCACTAGTAAATTGCATTAAATTTCAAACGCACAAACATATACAATCATGGTATGCCTCCAAAGTATTTTGATTTCCATCTCCCCACCCCTGAAGCCCTCAAAAAAAGAGAAAGATATTGAATGTATCTTTTTTTCCCCCTAAATAGTTGCAGGTAGGTCGGAATGGTGAACTCACAATTTTAAGGCAGATAAGACTGAATCCAATCACAGACAAACATTTCACCTGTCCACCAGCCATCCTGTTGGACTGAGCACTCACATGGCACACAACAAAGTGGGCAGGGTCCTCTTTGGTCCCCGGGTGGGCAGCACTGTTTGTCGCTGGGATGTGGGGCTGTGATTCTGGGAACAGACCCCGGGAAGTAGCTCCTCCCCTTCTGTGTGGAGCTGACCTGTAACTAGGGGCACCTGGAGACTGGCAGGTACAGGTATTGCAAAGACTGAAAAAAAAGAAGAGAGTGGAAGAAAGCTATGCCAAGCGGGTCAAAATGCTACTGTAACATGGGTTTCAAGGTGATGTGTAGAATGCTCCCCTTTTCTATTAAAAATTCTTTTCTAGATAAAAACTTTATGAAGCTGTATAGAAATTATTGACATAGTGAAATGATTCTTTTAAACTTGGGGATCCTGACCAGTTTTATTTTTTCTTTTTCACCTTTATTTGTTGTTCTTATTGTTGTTTCAGTACAAAGTGATTGGTTCTGCTGTCGGCTGGTGTGGAGGGATTGGGGACATGTTGTTTAAGGGTAGAAACTTAAAACTAGTAGATAAGAAGTTCTGGGAATCTAATGTACCACATAGTGATTATAGTTAACAATAACGTACTGTAAACTTCAAAGTTGCTAAGAGACTAAATCTTAACTGTTCTCAACACAAAAAAGAAATGGTAATTATGTGATGCGATAGAGATGTTAGCTAATGCTACTGTAGTAATCATATTGCAATATATAAATGTATCAAAGTAACACTTGTGCACCTCAAACTTATGCCTCAAACTTGACAGTGTTATGTGTCAGTTACATTCAAGAAAGGAAGGAAGGCAGGAAGGAAGGAAGGAAGGAAGGAAGGGAGGAAGGGAGGGAGGGAGGGGGAAAGGAAGAAAGAAAGGGAAAGGGCAGCAGCATGTCCCTGTGCTGAGAAAGACAATGGGAGGTCCTTAATGAGCACATTAAATCCATCCATCCCCAGTACCTCCCTGCCATTTACAAAAGGGATTACAAAAGTGGGGAGGAAGCATTTGTTCATTATCTGAATTATTGTAATGGTTTCATGTGTGTATACATATGTCAAAACATTGAGTTTATATTATAAATATGTGCAGTTTATGGTATGTCAGTTTTACACCACTGAAGTTGTTTAAAAAAATCAGTCTCAGCGCTCTAAGATCCTTCTACTAAACCACTCTGTCTTCTATGAGTTGACTACTATGAATTCAAGGTATTTTCATTTGTGCATTTAACAAGTATATATGGAGTACCTACTGTATACCAGGCATTGTTCTGGACACTGGGGATATAAACATAAGCAAACCAGAACTCTGTGCTCATGGAACACACACTCTAGCAGAGGAAGGCCAAAAGAAGCAGCTAACGTTAGAACTATCTAATGTCAGGTGTTGCTAAATGTTATGAAGAAAAATAAAGCAGAGTAACAGGAGAGAATATTGAGGGATAGAGTTTAGTTTGTGTACCATGGTCGGAGAGGACTTCTCCAGCAATGAGGTGCTTGAGCATGGGCATCAGGGAAGTGAGGATGAGTCCCTTGGAAACCTAGGAAAAGAACATGCCAGACAGAGGGGAGAGGAAGGGCTAGCTGAGTTTAGCTGAGTCTTTCTCAGGCTTGCCCTTAGCTAAGAGCTGCCTTGCTCAAAGTCACACCCTCTTCCCTGGGGTGCCCACATCTGAAGACTGGGAGATCAACAAATATAGTTTCACCTTGCCTGATTTCAGAAGGGGAGAGCTGAATGGTGCACTATGGCATCTACCAGGGTCGGGGGAGGGTGAGACTAGAGAGGCACCTAGGGAGCAAAATTTTAAGGAGGCCCCACTCTCAGGTTCACACAAACCCAGAGTTCCAGAGGTTTATGGTCATGAATTCAAAGAGATGCCAGTCAGCATGATTGTGTATTTTTTCTGGTCATGTGCAGGCACAGAGTGGGCTGAGAGTTGTATTTAAGTAGGACTAGGGTATTACTAGACAAGTATGATGGAGAGAGACTGCAGCAAGGGAATTGAGAGTGTTTACAAGGAAGTGATTTATAACATTGGACTGTGGAAACTAAGCTGGGTGGGCAAGGAAGTGAGGCTTGCTGCCCTGTCTCACTACCACGGAGGCAGGGGGGACTGCAATGCAGAGTGAAAAGTCAGCAGGAGCAATAGGCTGGAGAACCCAGTGGAGTTAAAGAATTGTCGGAAAGGATATGAGAGGGAAGTAAGCAGAAAATGGAGGAGTTGGTGAGTAGAGAATGGGATGTTTGAAATGGAAACTCCGGAGAAGTTTCAGTTATTGATGATGGGCCAGTTCTAGGATGTAACCATGGGAAATGGCAGCTAGGTCAGGTGGAAGAAAAACATCATTGGAAGTCAGGCGATCAAGAAATTGAGAGTCCCGAGAATTGGAAAGATTGTTCAGTGGGTATTGGAATTACTAAGAATTCTAACAGTAGTGAGGAAAGAGGTATTGAGACGTTTGTTAAACTCTAAGGATTAAAATACTAGGGGAGTATCTTTTGAGGTCTGTGAATGACATGAACAACTGAGGGATAATGGATGGTATAATCTGATGACATGAACCTTAGAGGAGCTGGGAGGTTCAGGGAAAAGGGAGAAACAATGATCTGGAAGGACAATGATTTTATGTTAGCAACTGATTTCTGGCTAATGTCAACTTCTTAGTTGCTGTCAAACAGGTTATGTTTTATTGCTGAGCCGTTCCATGGAGAAATAATGCATATAAAGCAGTTGTTTTGTAATATAAATTTACTTTAAAATTTTGAATTACTAAGCTTACCAACTGTCTGAAATTCTCTTTTCAGGAATGGGACTCTGCAAAGCAGTAAATGCTTGAGTTTTGGTCCTGAGGGGTACGGAGCTAAGACGATGAAGAGGTGAAGCAGTTATAAGAGTGAGTCTGTTTAGGGAATTCCCTGGTGGTCCAGTCAGTGGTTAGGACTCAGTGCTTTCACTGCCGGGACCAAGTTCAATCCCTGGTTGGGGAACTAAGATCCTGCAAACTGCACGGCGTGGCCAAAAAATAAATAAATAAATTTAAAAAATCAAGTTTAAAATTTTTTAAAAAATAATAAGAGTGAGTCTGTTTAAACATTCTTAGTGTACTAATGGGGTAATACGAGGAGAATCAAGATTAGTCAATCATCCAAAGTCCAAGAGAAGGGCTGAAAAATAAAAGACAAGAACGTCCCTGATGGCGCAGTGGTTGGGTGTCCGCCTGCTAATGCAGGTGTCACGGGTTTGATCCCTGGTCCGGGAAGATCCCACATGCCGTGGAGCAACTAAGCCCGTGCGCCACAACTACTGAGCCTGCGCTCTGGAGCCTGTGAGCCACAACTACCGAAGCCCGCGCGCCTAGAGCCCGTGCTCTGCAACAAGAGAAGCCACAGCGATGAGAAGCCCGCGCACCGCAATGTAGAGCAGCCGCCACTCACTGCAACTAGAGAAAGCCCACGCGCAGCAACGAAGACCCAACTCAGCCAAAAATAAATAAACTTTTAAAAAAAGGTTAAAAAAAAAAGATAAAGACAAGGGGTTGGAATGAAAGAGAGAGAAAATGTTAGGATGCTGTATAACAAGTCATCAGCTTTCTAACCCACAATACCTGTGTCCATGTTTCTTGACATCTAACCTCCTTTACTAAGCTAATGTTAAATATTTTAGTTTTTGTTACTTAGTATACAATTCCAGATTTCAAATCTGTAACGCTAGGATTTGTTTCGCTGAGAGTGACAGAAAACCTGTAAAGAAAGTGGCTTAAACGGAAGTTTCTTTCTGATATAAAATATTGGAGCAGAGCATCCAGGAGTGTATGGCAATTCTAGTCCATGGAGTCAGAGACCCAGGCTCCTTTCAATTCTTTAGTTGCTCATCTCTAGAATGAGGCCTTCTTTTTATTGATCCAAGATAAAGCTCCAGGTATCATATCAAATTTCTAAGCAGCAGAATTCAGTAAGGGGAGAGGGAAAAGATGAACTATATGCCAGTAAGCTCTTAAGAAAGGTTCCTTCGGCCACTTACATCCTGTTGGTCAGAAGTTGGTCTCATGGCTATGTCAACTGAGCTGAAAGGAAAAAAAAAAAAGGCATACACAGTCAAAAAATTCTATTGCTATGGAAGAAGGGAAGAATGGAGACTTAACAGTGGGCAGTCTCTGCCACACCAATGAACGAATAAGGTATAAGCATAAGGCATAAGCTTAGGGCAGAATTTGCAACATTTAACAGAAGGATAGAGAGAAGTAAGGAGGAAAATGGGATAGAGGTGACTGCAGCTAATCTTATAGTTTGGGGAAGAGAAGGCAGCAAGTATAGGGACTTTCCACTTGATAGTCTCTACGTGAAGTGAGTATGAGTATGGAGGTGGAGTAGGGGACTTAAGAAACTAGTGAAGCTTTGAAATACCCATTGTAGGGGAAATAAAAAGAATTGTTTAGTGATACAGAAGGAATACAGAGTAGACTTGATTGTCCAGGAAAAGACTGGACACTATGAGATTTACGGTTGTCCTCATTCATACTCCATCCTTCCACTATACCTGTACCTCCCCCTTTTGCTTTTGGGGAGACCATTTCTACCAAGGAAAAGGACTTCTTCTACCAAGGAAAAGGACCTAGGACTTCTTTTTTGACTTCCTTGCCAAGTCCAATCAAGTAGATGACATTTTCTTACTGGTGCCGAGTGCAGACAGATAAGAATTAAATGTCAAGGAAATTGACAGGAAGACCTTCACTGATCAGGGATCCCTGGTGGTTACAATAGAACAAACTAGAGTTAGGCTCATGGTTCCAAGGAAGAGAAACTCAGGCTATCTTATGGGAAACAGAGGAATTGCAAGAATACCCACTGACCATACTGGAAAACAAAAAACACTAGAAAGCCAGCAAGAAGCGAGGCAGCTTCAGGGTAGTTATTTATCGTGGTATCTCTTTCACATGAGCCTCTTCACATCACAGCTATACAAGTCTTGTTCATTCTTCTAAGGATTGGACAATTTTTAGCTCTCAGTCAAAATTCTAGAAGGGGCCAGTCTGATTCATTTACATAATTCTCAACAAATTTACTGGGTTGAGTCCTTTATACTGGACTACATCAGGGGTTATCAACCAAACTAATGAAGTGGCTCCCTTATGACTGGTATCTTAATCCACGGTATCAGTCAGGGGGGATACAGAAAACACACAGTAATTTGAACAAGGAAAATTTTATATAAAGAATTACTAACAAGCAACAGGGGATTAATTACTAAGGGTAAAGAAAGCTCTTAAGAATTCAGAAATAGCGGCTATAGGAGCAGCCACTACCTCTAGGACTGAGGCAGAGGACCCAACGAAGGAGCAAATTTTGAAGTTTCCACTGCAAGGCTGAGATTCAGATTTTGTTGGAGAGGGTGCGGCTGCGACCCACTGAAGCCCAGGGCTGGAGAGGAGGGCGTTGTCAACAAAACTAGTTAGGAAGGCACCCCACTGGGTGTGCCGAGACTTATTGGGAAGTTGCCAGCTGGTGCACCAAGACATGCTGGGAAGCCGGCGGGGGGACCAATGGACCTGCTGGGAAACACCCTCTTTTGAGGTGCCACTGGGTGTCCTACATGCCACTGGCCCCCACACACTGCAAAAGCAAGAAAAAAGAAAACACACCGAAAAGAAAACACACAAGAACCAGGAAGAGAAGCTCCTTTCTTCTGCAGCATCCCTTCAGCATCTTCTGACAAGCTTAACAAAACTTGCCAGCAAGCAAAAGAGAAATATTTAAAGGGCTTAGCTCCTGTATCACAAAGCAGAGCAATGAAGGGTGGACTTAGGAGCCAAGAAATAGATAACCAGCACATCTACAAATCAGTGGTGGTCCTTACACAAGGCTCAGTATAATGCAATTTCCCAGAACAGGGGTCAGAGACAGAGCACTTCATTCCGGAAGAAATGTTCACTGGATCAGTACTTGGATTGGCTTAGATGAGTCCAGCATCTAAGAAATTTCCTCTTTTGGTACTATTGAATATCAAGGACACTGGTGATTTCAGAATTTCTAAATAGGAGGGAAGGAGAGAGGGCAAGAGTACTTCTCTTGCCGGCAAGCACTGTCATTTTTTGTTTTCACTTAGTTTATTCAAAATGTTAGGAATTTATTTGTGGGTGGTGGCTAAATCCACTGACTCAATAGAGAAATAATTCGGCTTCAGAATGGCTAGAAAAAGTACTGACAAAGGAAAACAAGCTTTACAGATTTGCGGACTTTAGGTGCTTGCAGATTAGGGAAGCTTACATGAGGATTTTCCGTATTCTTTTTTTTTTCGGCCGCACCACGCGGCTTGTGGGATTTTAGTTCCCCGACCAGGGATTGACCCCAGGCCTTCGGCAGTGAGAGCAAGGAGTCCTAACCGCTGGATTGCCAGGGAATTCCCTACTTTTCCTGATTCTTGTAATAAAACGTCATGGCTTATATGTTACATGAAATGCAAAAAAGGTCAGCTGTTTATCTTGAACAAGTATAACTCATTTTTCCAGTAGGCTGAAAAGACACCACCCCCCAAACCTGAATACATTTTACCTGTGCAATACATTATGGATCATGATTATGTAACAGAAATTCAACTATCAATGCTCTGAGAAACAGAATAATGATTTCAAGTCAGCTACAATGGTGAAGATTTCCAGTTGATTGTATTCATGCTGTCATGTTTCCTACAGTTGACAAATGTTGATGGGCAATGATCCTAAAGTGAAAAATGCCACTTCAGAACTACTTGCAGGGTTCAAGATCTCACAGGATACGATGAATTTCAGAGACTATCAGGAAGTGTTCCTTCCCTATAATTTCAGCTCTACCTTATATGCTGTCATTGGGTTAGCCATTCAAGGCTGAATCCAACATTAACAAGATGATAGAATCAGATCAGGACCAGAACCAACTTAAAGTCCACCAGCTGAACAATATAATCAGTGAGAACTGACCAACTAGTCAGTGTATATCGAGGCTGCACACTAGAAATCAGCTGAAAAACTTATAAACTGCCAGTGTCTGGGCCTCATTTCCGACTGTTCAAATCAAAAACTACTTCTATTCATAAAGAATAACTTTCAGGGGGAAGGGAATTAAGTGAATGCCATTAGCTTTTTTTCCCTCCCACTTTGTCTTTTAAGTAAAAAACACCCCAGCAGCTATTGCCTTTGGGACACTCTCAGGTCCCAAATTTGCTGTTTATTCCTAACTACAAAATACCTAACACAGATTGAAAAATCTGTAGCTTTCATTAGATTCCTAAATAGGGGCCTATAACTCAGGTTAAGAACCACTACCTTAGAAGCACTAAATCCAACTAATAGATTATAAATAGGGGAGTATTAAAACGCAAATTTTGTATTTAAATCTCAAGACTGATAATATACTAGCTCATGTATAGGATTTAATTGCAAATTGAACATTAGAACACAGATGAAACATACTGATACATGGAAAGGTGAAATCATTTTAATAGTTGAGAAAACTGGATGAAGGTTGCTAGTTATATTAAACTATCAAAAGCTTTTTAAGTTTTCTCAGATTGCAAGAAACAATCCTGAGACACCTTTCAGAGCCACTCGTTTTTGCAGTCTTTTAGAAAGCTACTCTCCAAATTAAGTCATGCATATATCCGGCATTAAGTAGTATTATTTACATGTTCTATATACCAAAATACTCCTCAAAAGCAAACTTTAAAAAAAAAATCATAGGAAATGCTGTGTGATATTTTCGCTTCTATTTAAAATAGTTTCCACTTTTTACCAAAACACACCACTCAATTAATTATATTTCAGGTAGAACTATATTCAAAGGAGTAGCACCATCCATTTAGGTATGCTAAAATTTTCAAAGATAAATCTATTGGCTTTCATCACTCAGCAACAGTTTCTAATTTCTACA